TCCTGGGATTTGGGGGTGCAGGAATGATGTGTTTCTGGGATTCAGGAATGATGCGTCCCTGGGATGCAGGAATGATGTGTCCCTGGGATGCAGGGATGATGTGTCCCTGGGATGCAGGAATGATGTGCCCAAAATGTCAGGATGCAGGGATGATGTGTGCCCATGATCCTGAGGCATGGGGAACATGCGTGCCTGGAATGTGGGGGGGATATGTTTCCTGGGATTTGGGGGTGCAGGAATGATGTGTTTCTGGGATTCAGGAATGATGCTGTCCCTGGGATGCAGGAATGACGTGCCCGAAACGTCGGGATGCAGGGATGATGTGTGCCCAGGATCCTGAGATGTGGGGAACACGTGTGCCTGGAATATGGGGGGATATGTTCCTGGGATTTGGGGGTGAAGGAATGATGTGTCCCTGGGATTCAGGGATGATGTGTTTCTGGGATTCAGGAATGATGTGTTTCTGGGATTTAGGAATGATGTGTCCCTGGGATTCAAGGATGATGTGTGCCCGGGATGCAGGAATGATGTGTTTCTGGGATTCAGGAATGATGTGTCCCTGGGATGCAGGAATGACGTGCCTGAAATGTCGGGATGGAGGGATGATGCGTGCCCAGGATCCTGAGGCATGGGGAACATGCGTGCCTGGAATGTGGGGGGGATGTGTTCCTGGGATTTAGGGGTGCAGGAATGATGTGTCCCTGGGATGCAGGGATGATGTGTCCCTGGGATTCAGGGATGATGTACATGGGATTCAGGGATGCTGTGCCTGAAATGTCAGGATGCAGGGATGATGTGTGCCCATGATCCTGAGGCATGGGGAACATGCATGCCTGGAATGTGGGGGGATGTGTTCCTGGGATTTGGGGGTGCAGGAATGATGTGTCCCTGGGATTCAGGAATGATGTGTCCCTGGGATGCAGGAATGACATGCCTGAAATGTTGGGATATAGGGATGATGTGTCCCTGGGATGCAGGGACGATGTACATGGGGTGCAGGGATGCTGTGCCCGAAATGCTGGGATGCAGGGATGTTGTGTGCCTATGATGCTGGGACACAGTGTGTCCCTGGGATGCAGGGATGCGGTGCCCAGAATGTTGGGATTCAGGGATGCTATGCCCAGAATGTCAGGCACCAACCCCGAGCTCTGCTCTGCTGCCAGCAGCCGCTGCCCTGAAGCCAAGGGNCACCCCAGTCCTCACTGCCGCTCACCACAGAGCAGCCATCCCCTATTCAGGGGGTCCCTTCCTTTGCCCCAGCCCTGGGGGACACCCCGGGTCAGGCCCTGCACCCGTGGGTGCCACAGAGCCCTCGGGAAGGGGACACCCTCCAGCACCAGGACGGAGCTGAGGGATGTCCCCACAGACCCCTCCCCACGCGATGCTCTGTGTGAGCAGCCCCGACAGTGCTGCTGTGCCAAAACCCGCCGGTTTCTGGACAGCAAAGAAAAAAAAAAAAAGAAAAAAATAATTAGGGTTTTTTTTTATTTTTTTCCCTTTTCCGTAGTTGACTCCATATCCAAACTTCCTGAGAGCAGCTCCAGCCCTCCCTCCGCTTCCGACGGCCGCSCTGCGCCATCCCGGCCGGCCAGGCCAGCCCCGTGTCGGGGCCGCTGCGCCCTGACCCTGCCCTCCACCGCGGGTCCCGGCCAGGTGAGTGCCACCGTCACCCTCCCGGGCCGCCCTGGGGCCAGGGGTGGGTTGGAGGGGTTATTACACCGTCCCCTGCTGGGTGCTGCCGGAGGGGACAGTCCCCAGCGGCGGGAGGGACTTGGGGATGGTGCAGGTTCCGAGGTGAGCGGACAGTGGTGAGGGGACGGGGAACAGCGGATGGGGCGCGGGACAGTGCTGYGACACCCCRCGGTGACCCCACRATGCTGACCTTGTCCCTGTCGCTGYCCCTGACTTGCMCCCGTGCCCCACTCGCTCTCAYCCAGCCCCGTCCCCGCGGGTCCGCGGAGGAAACGCGTCAGCCCCGGGGGTTTTGGCAGAGGAAGCGCCCGGGGTAGAGATAGGGGCTGTGGCGGGGCTCAGCGCCGTGTCCCC